ATTTCAGATTGCTGAGAATGAAATAAATAAGAGAAAAAAACAAGATACTATTGAAGCTTGCCTTGCTACAACATTTTCCTGGGTTTAAATCCCAGCCAGGACCTACAGTATCTGGATGTTTTACAAGATTTCTGCTGATTTTCTCTTGGTATTCCAGCTTCCTCACAAAGAACAGTATTAACCTTTGTGGTTAATTTGCAGCCCCAAATTGCATTTGGTTTGTGTGTCTTTGTACATATGATTGTTTCCTATGGAAATTTAGCATCTTAAACACTATAAAAAATTAAAAGCATGATTAGCAGAACCTTCCACTCCAACATTTTTCCTAAATGATCATGATTCCTTTTGTTGAGGTTGCATTTTATAGATAATTACAATCTGACAAATATTACCCCTTATAAAAGCTGTTTGCTCTTTACAATAAGTCATTTTATTAGTTTAATTATGAAAGATTAAATTAATATTAAAGAAATATTTGGCAATTTCTAGAAGAAGAAAGTGAATATATTGCTATTATCTATAGCAGGAGTGTAAAACTCCAGTGGTCAAGCAGAAGCATATCTAAAAGTTGAAGGACACCAGTACTCTGGGAATGGTGTATGACCCTTCGATCTATAGGATGGTACCCTGATATATAATAATATTTTTCATTTGCTAAGATTGATTCTATTTGTTATGTATTAATATTTATTTTATTTAGTTATTACCTTAACATTTTTTTTATCCAACTTCTGAAATGTACATCTAAATATGAGAACCTGAATCGATTTCACTATTCAAAATTGTAATGTAAATGTTCTGATCTTAGCACTGATGGCTGGATTTGTTTTTGTTTTTTTCCAATCTGCTTAGCTCCACCCACTCAGTCTTTCATCAGATTGACCTGCTCCTGCTTTGCATTTAAGCTGCCTGTTTTCAGCCATTGGTGCAAGATTATTCGAGCCGAGAGTTTTCTAGCTAACTATGAGTTTATGATTACTGATCCTGACTAATTTCTGTCCCTGGACTTCTGAGTTTTGGTTTCCCCTGTTATTCTCTGTTACCTGACCTGTTTTTGGACCTTGGACCTGTCTTCTCACCTCGCTTGGATATCCCTTCAGCTCCTCTTCGGACTTCTGAAGTTCTGGCATGGAAATTTGTTCCTGCTTCGCCTTTGGATAATCCCTCCGAATTCTTCTGCTCTGCTTCTCTCCTGGAACTCTGAAACACAAGCTATGGAGAAACATCCCTCTGGACTTCACTCCCTCCTCTGGGCTCATCTTTGTTCTGAAGTCACTAACCTACAGAGTGTCCAGAGAACCTGTCCCTGCTGATGAGCAGCCACATGCTGATTTATTTAACAGCAATTGTTTTGTTAGTACCTTGATATGTCTGCTTGAATTCTGTGTCCTATGTTCTGAGCTTCTGACAATAAATAATTTTAGAGCAAACATCTGCCTTGTGGTGTTACCTTTAATTTATTGAGTTTTAAGCTGCTATCATAAAGTACAGCTTGTCATGCCACTATCTAGGTTGTATTATAAAATAACTGGTTGTGTTCTTTGTCACATTAATCAACACTGTTTGTATACTTCCTGAACGCTGGAAAGAAGTAGTATCATGGTTATCTAAGTACTTTTCGTTTGTGCAGACAGCATATATATACAAGGGGATGGGTCAAAATGCATAGCGTGAATTTCCCTATTGTGGGAAAATAGAGGGATTTACATTTTTAGTTATACATTGCAATGTAGTGGCCGATATGTGCATTACATGGTATATTGCATCTTTGAGTTGCATGCCACATCAATTGACATTTTAAAATAAATTGCAGCTAATCTCAGATGGAGATAACTAACACAACTAAACATATCGGTTTTAAATGAATGTAATGTTGTAATGTCTATCACTACAACTGATAAAAAAAATTCAGATCTAAATAGTTTGACAGGGGTTTGATGATTATCAAACTATCCATTAATCAGCTATGAAATCAATTGTTGTAGGTTATTCTATGAAAACTTGTTTTGCTCAAGCAGAAAATCTTCCTTCATTTAAAGTTAAGGGGAGGTAGAATCAGGAAGCCAGGATAGTTAAACCTACAGTCTGGTGACCTTCATATGTAGCTTTTTAAACTTGAACAGCACACTGAGCCATTTGCAGAGCCGGAAACTGAAATCCAGACAATCCTGCCATGGCTTCCCTGAGATTGGTTCTCTTAAAGGATTTGAATCCTATAAGAAAAAAAAAAAAAAAAACAAGCCACAGATGATACTACTGTCACCAAAGCAATGCAATAAACCCTCTTGGTCACCTTAGAGATCCTGTCAATTAATTTGCCTTCACAACAATCTAAAATTTGATTTGTCTGACAAATATATAGAGCAACGCAGCCTTACATGAGATCTCTGCTGAATAAATTGTGTTTTTGTCAGAGCAGCTAGTGCCCAGCATCTTCATTAGTCCTTTCAGGCACATTTCTAAAGCCCTTTAGGCTCCTGCATTGCCTTGTCTACCTGTCGTCTCCTTCACATTAAGGAGGTGTCACAAGCATAGTCTCCGTTCCAGGTAGGCTCTCACGTCAGAGAGTTACAGTTCATCTAGACTGCATCTGACACTCATCAGCCCTGCCCGATGTGCTAAAGAAAATGAACCTTCTTCCCATGGACACATAAAGGTTGCTTCCTCTTATAATTAAGATGTGTTAGTCTAGTGAAACGTGTCTTCTTTCATTTCTCAAAACCAAAAATAATTTGATCCTGAATTAAAATATGAACAAAATCAGTACACAAAACAGTTGAACTGTATTATTTTTTGATTTGTCTAACATACAGCATGTTTTACAACTTGTTCAATATTTGTTCAATAAGATAATTACAGGAAGGTCAAGTTTGATAGTTTGATCGTTCAACATTCTTCGAGTGATTGGCCTGCTGAGTGGTCCAGTTTGATTACATCCTTGTATCTCAGACAAATAGATTTGTACATATTGAGGATTATGTTTAGCCTGTTGCTGTTATAATCTGGAAATTGAACCCCAATCATTTCCAATCAAAAACAGTGCTTATACATTAATATGAGGTGTTCACTTAATCTGTAAACAAGATTGTTGTTGGATG